CAGTCATACAACGAAACCATCGGATGAGATACCTATCTCGCCTATGAATTGTATGAACTTCGCATGCAACTGCAACGCCTTCGATCAACGAAGCCACTTGTGCCTCAGTATCAGTCTCCTCTCAATGCCTTCTAAACAACACTTCACCGTACCACGCAGCATCTTCAGTAATTGCATCCCAAAATCCGTCTACTGTGTCTCAGTTCGACTGAAGAGTTCTGCCCGCCACTGGGTGTTTGCTGTGTTTGACAACGAGAGCAAAACACAGCGACTGAGAACCCGAGATGAAGAGATAAACAGTCTCGTCATAGCCGTCAGAAGGTGACATATGGCGGGGACAGGGCGAGCCAGCGTATGTGAATTCAATTATGGCACCCGAATCCAGATGATTCAAAAATCATATCTTGTGTTGAAGTTTTTAATGACAAATGTTAGCTTTTTAACTTCAATCTATCATGTAGCGGCTTTCCTGAGATTTGAGCTTAGCTCAAGTTCGACCTCAGGGTCACTGTCATCGCAAACCTCACTCAAAAAAAAAATAAATAAATAAATAAATAAATAAATAAATAAATAAATAAATAAATAAACAATGAAGGCATGTCTATAAGTCATGAGAATGGCAACTAGAATAAGGAAAGGTTATTGTCTGTCTAGGCCACATCACAACGAATGTTTCCAATACACGAATGAAAATCACCAGCCCACTCCGCAAGCCATCTCAGAGTTCCACGTCTCATTACCGTGAAACCTTCTAATGCCACGCCGAAGCTGTAAGCCAGACTACGGCAGCTCAGATACGACCTACACCGAGCTTCCACAGCTCATAGCCAGCACCCTGTTCTTCCTGGTCCCTCCTCCACCCAGCCACGGAGAAGAGAGGTCAACAGTGCCAACCTCGGCGGCACAATGAGAAGACGGGGAGGGCCTGGGTGACGCCACTGGGGACGGGGGAGAGAAGCTCATCAGGATCAAGTGATTACATATCTTCCCGGCTGACAGAGCAGGGGAACGCCCCGCGGTGATTTGGGAACGGAATTGGGACGATCCATCTGGGATGGTTTGGCGTCGCGTGTTACGGAAATGGTGCCCGGAGATGGCATGGGTTTTCATTGAAAACAAAAGAAGTGTTCCACTTTTTATTAAGCTTAATAGGGACAAAGCAAATATCCGCTTGGCGATTAGCATTTTTGACTATGGAGCACATACCTCCGATTATGTAACTTATCCTAAAACTTTCTCGGCTCCGAAACCACTAACAAGTCGGTATGTGGTCGCTCTCCATTCATTGTATTTTTGTTATTTAATTGACTCATCGCCCAACACCACACTTCCACTCGTCAGTTTCACTTTGAACTGTATACCTACCACAAAGTTTCACTTGTAAATAAACGGCCATCTCACATAGCCACAGAAGAGAAACCATCAAACAAAACAGAGCTCAGCCTCGATGATTGTGTCATCAAACGAAGCTCGTTGACCTTGATCTGGAGCGACTTTTGGGGAGTATTCGGTCGTTCGCCTATCGAGCCAGAATCGACATTCTCGACGGGAGTCGGACCATCAGAGGAAACCTCGTCTGGAATGTTGTGCGCCGGCCACTGGGGGAGCCGGTCGTCGCCAACATAACAAGATCATAACAGTAATGAGCGCGGGTCATTACTGTAATGGTGCCAGCTACAGAGGGAATATAGACGCTACAATAGCGGCGGCGTTTGCACTTTACACCAGCTGTGACAACAGAAGGCGAATATTATCATATTAAGCCGGGAAAGATAATGACGAAAGCGACAACAGGGGCATGCCAGCGGCAGCCTACACATTACAGAAAAGTGACGGATATTGCAGTCGCGTTTTCGCGACAGGACAGCTACCAGACAGCTCCTAAACAAAAGGTGAAGGCAAAATGCAAGGCACAACCGAGCTAACCAAGCAAGGGATTGGACGACACAGCCAAAACGAGAGAGCAGCAGTGGAAACAGGAACAGAAGCGGCAGCGGCAGGCGACAGAAGCTGCAAGCGGGCAGTGACTCTAGGCTCGGACGGTGACTCCCACTCTGGCGGTGACTCTGACTCGGGCAGTGACTCTGACTCGGGCAGTGACTCTGACTCGGGCGGTGACTCCGACTCGGGCGATGACTCTGACTCTGGCAGTGACTCTGACTCGAACGGTGACTCTGACGTGACTCCGACTCGGGCGGTGACTCTGACTCAGTCAGCTGTGCCCGCTGACTGCCCATCTGGGTCAGTGGGCGGCAGCGAGCGGCGCGGCAGCAGTTGGTGGTCGTGGGCGGCGAGCGGGCACGACAGGAAACAGACAGGCACGGTGGGGCGAGCAGTGAGCACGGTAGGCACGGTAGGCATGGCGGTTGTGATGACCACAATAGGCAGGGACGGCAGGCACGGATGGCAGTAGTTAGGCAGAAGGCAGGCACGGTGGGCACAGCAGGCAACAGGCAGCATGACGGGAAACAGGCACGGTGGGCAGCGCAGGCATGGCGGGAACGGTATAGGCACGATGGGTGCAAAAGGTATGCCGGGCAGGGCAGGCACAGCAGGCTGACTGGGATGGCATAGAAGGCAAACACGGCGGGCAATAGGCAGGCAGAAGGCAGGCAGGATGAGCACAGCACGCAGCCAGGTAGGCACGACGGTATGGTTTGAGGGATCAACCGTCGGACCAGGACCGGACCAAGAATGGCTATTCCAGACCACCGGAAACTCAGCAGGAACCAGAGGCCCCAAAGAATCGATGGCTAAAAAAGTCTGGGATGGCATGGAACGTCACGAGATGTCACGGATTGGCACTAGCCGCACGAACCGTCTCAGCCTGTCACGGATCTGCCAAAGAGCTCTCCAAAGCCGTCACGGAGCCCTCACGAGCTGTCACGAGCTGTCACGGACACGTCACGGGTTGATCACGAGTTCCCACGGCGGCCAGTGACCAGGCGGGTGTCTGTAACCAGCGCGATGACGTGTGAAGCTCGGTCAGTGGCGATAGTTCGATCCGTGAGATTTCTGGGACAGTCCCACAGTGAAGACAGAAACCACTGGGCGTGAACGTGATCGCATATAGAACAGCAGACGAAATGAGAAGGGGTGGATTGAACAGAACGAACAGAATCACTTTTCTGCTGGAATGCAAGCTCTGGATCAAAGTTGCAGAAGTATGTGTCGAGTGATTTGAATATCTAACTTTGAAGATAGTATTGAAGGGGATGAGCCCCTGAAACAAAAACGCATCGACGTCACATGCAAAACTCCTCGTCTAAATATCCGGTCTACCCTTCCACACCAAACCTGGAGCACAAGAAACTCATGCACGCGCTTCTGAAGTCCGTCTCGTGCGCCCAGCCCGTCAGATCCGCCGCCCAGACGAGTGCAAATCAGCCGCACCCACTCAACAAGCTCCCACGTCCACAGAAGCAAACTTAATTTCACCCAATCAGGGCCCGGTCTCAGCTCCTCCAATCAGCAGCCAGACGTCGTCAAAGACGCGGTGCAGTCTGCAGTTTGAAACGAGCATCAGCGGCAGACGCCAAACCGGTAAATCGGGCGGGCAATGATCTCAGCTGCAGCCAGCGGAGACTTCGAGCAAGCGTCGGTAGGTAATGCCAAACTGCAACAGCTCGCAGTTCAACATGTCCAGTGCAGGTTTGTGCACCTGTTGTTACCATAGTCTATCAGGACATGCACGCCTACGAACGACTTTCCGAGGTTGAGTAACCTTTAGACAGAACGCACCGAATTGCTTTGACGGCCGAAATGCGATCGCGCGTCTGCGAGGCTTGTGCATTTGCACATTTGCAAACTGCACGCAGACAGTTGGCATTTCCTGCATACAGTTTGGGTACGCTTGCATCGCAAACATTCTGCACCTCCCGTTCGGGTGTGTCGGGGAAAAAGAGGTGAAACTTCCCGCAAATTGAGTCCCAAAGTCGCACGCTGAAGTAGGCCATGGGTAGCTCAGAGTGATTCAGCATTGGTCGCGGAAAGACCGCACCTGGTCAACTAAGCGCTGCTTGCAATGCCAAAGAGCGGTGCGAGTAAAGATGTAGCATGGGGTCAGAACCCCAGTCCCCAACCTCAGACCATTGCACCTCAGCCCCAGGATGTTGATTAAGTTTGCATCTCCTATCCCGGTGTCAGTGATGCAGCAGGTCGTGCCAGGCGGATCAGCGTGAAGTAGAGAGGAGGGATGAAGGGAGTGTGGGATGTGTAGAGGGATGAGCAGGGAGAAGGGGTGGGGGTCACTGCAGGCGGCACAGTTCTAGCTGACCAGTGGAGCGAACTGACCCGTGGAGCCGTGTGACCCACGCCAGCGGACTTCGGTGACCGGCTAGTGCGGGGTGGCGAAGGCGTGCGAGGTGGAAGGGTGCGGCTAACAGGAGGTCAAGGCTTTGAGGTTAAGACCCCGGAGAACAGAGTTGGGGAGAAGGAGTCAAGGAGGAGAACGGAGTCACACATGAGTTAACGGTCATGCGGGGTTTTATCCGGCACATGCCAGTAAATATACCCAACAAACACCCAGGATCGGCACAGCTGCAATCAAGCAACCCAACACCACAGGGACGACCACACTGTCTCAGAAAGTCACGGCACCCCACGCATGACACACCCTCAGCAGTGAGTCAGTGCGGAGGCCGCGTTGGGCCGGATATGACAGCAGTTGTTGGAAAACACAAGACGGCCGCTTGACATACAGCACATCAAGGACAAACTATTTCAATTTACCAATATGTTCAAAAAGAATGTACCCAAATGTGGAAGTGATTCATATGAGTACGAGACACAAGTGGAGACCAAACGACAGATGGTACGGAGAGTCAAACTCATCAGTCACATGTGACTGACAACTCATAAGACTGCAAGGGGCCAGAGAAAGCTAGGACCCACCGGCTCTGACTCAACATCCGTGCCCGTCTATGTAGAGTCAGAGTTAGGGCAGCGAATCAGAACCAAGGCACAGACTGAGAGTCGAAGCAGAAACGTTCGGTCCTTACCTGGCATCGGTTTCCAGAATGTCCCTGTTCTGATCGGCCCGCAGGCCTCCAATCGTAATCAAACACCACTGTACGTCACTTTAGGTCACCGGTGCCCGTTAAGGGTCACCTCAGGTCATAGGTGCCTGCTCTAGGTCACGGGGCATTCCACGTCAAATCAAACACCGAAATCCGTCATCCCCTTCGATTTTTCTGAAAATTTGTAGGCAGACTGGGCATGGTTCAAAACTGAGTTACGTATAATATTTTCGAAATTTGATAAAGTATCGCTGAGATATAGGTCATCGAATATAGCCAAAAATGCCACACATCAATTTTTTAAATGTCTATAACTCTGGATCCTTTTCTGGTATCAAAATGATATTAACAGGGTCTTGTAGGCAATTGATAAGGCTTTGATTCTTAATTATAAAATTAAATTGAAGTGACCTTGAAATGCATTTGACCTTGAATTAAAACAGAAAAATTTAAACAGCAAAAAACACGTCAACTTCGATTCGGGTAATTTTTACATATTATGTCCGTCACAATGTTCCTAACCATCTGTGACAAAAATTGGAGTGGGCCATTCATAACTCTCGCGGCAAACGCCGTTTTCATGCATCAACATCACGCAACCGCGCGTGACCTTGAAAGACAGAGTCAAGACATGCTTGCTTGTGTACACTTTCTGAAATGAATGATTGCTGATTAGTGATATCCCAAACTCTTCGAGAATGGAAACACATAGTCATCGTAGTCAAGCATTCAAGTTCCATAGTAAAAGTGTCTTAGGCAAACGGTATTTTGCGGTGAATTTTGAGCCGTGTGGAATTGCAACATGAAGCCAAAAATTCAACGAAAACATTATCACGCAACGATATCTTCACGTCTTTTTATCTTCACTATACGAAAGAATATACATTTTTGAGTATGTATGGGGAATTTCTAGTTAATCCAATAATAAATATGCCAGTTAGAGACCTGCTAAGAGTAACATGTCGCCGGCTGAGGCGGGATCGGCCGACGCGGGAAACGCAGCAATCACAATTTTGTGTTTACACGTTCATATTTCAATTGTTTACCAACCGATTTTCAAAATTCTTACACCATAAGATTGCCTGTACATTTCTTAGTCTTCTCACAAAATTTGACGCGAATTGAACGTAATCAGCGGTAAGGAGCGCGATGTAAAGACGGAACCGTTCCGTTCCGTCCCGGCACAGTCTACAATTCAGGCGGCGGCTAGCGGTCGGCGCCGGCTGCCGAGTCGCCGCGTCGCCGCGGCGACAGGATGTTTCACTTTACACCGCTATTACTAGAACAGTTGTGAACCGATTTTCTTCTTGCTTGCACGATGAGATGTGCACTTCAATTTTGGACAGGTAGCTATAATTAATTTCGCATTAATACTATGAGATATTGGCGAAAAACAGGAGGGGTGGGGCGAAATTCACTCTTCCCCCTCCACTGCGCGTGCTAACATACGTTTGCATATGTGCCATTTTCTTCAAAACTTATGAATGGCCCACTCTAATTTTTTCACAGGTTGTTAAGAATATGGTAGGCAATAAAATATATGAAAATTAGCCAGATCGAAGGTGACGTGTTTTTTGCTATTTCAATTTTTGTGCTTAAGAACAGAGTTAAGCAAACTTCAAGGTCATATATTTAAGTAGATACAATTCTAAACAAATGCTTAAGAAATTACCTAAACAGTAAGGTTTATTTCATTCAAATCAACCAAGTACAACCAAAGTTATGGTCGTTCAAAAATATAAAGATGCAACATTTTGTAAAAATTCGATGCCCTATATTTAGAAGACCTGTGGTCAAAATGTGCAAAAAACATCAATGTAATGTTTGGGGCGACACAGGAACTCGCTCACAAATTTATAATGAAATCGCTGATGGTAAGGTGCAAAACAGCCGATTTTTGTTCGATTTGACGTGGAATGCCCCTCACTTTAGGTCACGGGCACCCGTTTTGGGACGCTTCACGTCACGAATATCCACTGTAGGTCACCTCAAGTCACCAGCACTATAGGTCACTTCGGGTCACCATCACTGACCGGTCACAGGTCACCCGATGACGTCACTCGCGCTACCGTCAGCCGGTGACGTCAGCTCCCATCACCGCCCGGCCGGCGGGTGCGTCCCGTCCCGTCCGTCCCACACACCCACACGGGCCACGGAGCGCTGCCGGCAGCGCCGCGTGCAGCCCTCCTCTGGCTCTGAGCCGCACTGGCCGGCTCCGCGCCGTCACCGCCGCCGCCGCGCCGCCAGTGCCGCCCGCCCGCCCTGGTGACGTCACCGAGCGCCGTCCGCCGTGGCGGGCCGGGGTCACACAGGCTGCTGGGGACCGTTAGCCGGGCTGCGGCCGGCACCAGCGGCGCGTGCCGTCCCGACTGACCGACCGGAGAGGAGCAGGAGTGTCGGCGGCGACGGAGACGACGGGTTAGACTCGTCGCCCGCGACGGTGGACCCAGCGGAAGGTATTGATCTGGGGAAGGTCGCCGGCGGTGGAAAGTGACACCGAGAGGCTGTGTGGAGCACCAAACCCAGTGGAATTAACACCACAATGACACCTGTCAGCTGGTGACACACGCGGGTCAGCTTAATTACACCACCGATGCACCTGCTCGAGAGGTCACACTAACCCCCGCGGCGCCTGCGCCGACGGTCACCGCTCGCAGCGCCGCCCTGCGGTCAGAGGCCGAACTAGCGACGTAAACCAGGCCGGATCGCCGAGAGTCGGGCTACACCAAAGGCGGGAAGTTTGCGATTAGCCTGGTACTGGCTGACTCCGGTTTCCGCAGAGGTTTGGAATTTGTTTCCGTTCCGCTCTCTGGCTGTTATGCTCGCCTGCATGGCTGAGAATGGGGCTGCGATTGGAATCGGCTGAATGTTTCCGCTGAGGTGATTAGAGGTGCTGACTCCGGCCTCGGCCCTTACAGGGGCGATTTTGAGTCGGCACAGCAGGTTAAAGGTTAGGTTCAGGGACAGGGCCACTACTGCTTAAGTTCTCTGGCCCTACCCTAGTACGCTGCAGACATATCCCAAACAAGCATCATCAGCTAAGCTGTTTCCGGTAAAAGTTAAAACTACATGAAGTAAATTGACTCTAATGTTGATGAGCTTTTTAGTTTTTATTGATGTCATCCGACAACATTCTGACATCTTCATTTCGTGTAGTCAGAAAGTGTTATGTAAGCCTTCCTTCATGGCTTCTACCGGGGAAAATCAATACAATCAATCGCTAAACGGACGTCTAGACGGCCAAATGCTTGAAACCTTCTAGCGGCATCGTCGTATCGGTAAAACGTTCCTGAGACCGGTCAGTTTTGAGTTTCAATAGGAATCTCCAAAGGACTGCATCAGTGCCCAATATCCCCCCTCCCCCCCCCCCCCGTCGCTTTCGCCAAGCCCAACAACATTCGGCAGAGCCCAGCCTGAAGGCGAAGCCGCAGCAATGCTAGGGGACCGACGCGACGACCGCACAACACCGCCCAGACTGACGTCAATCGTTCGACCAGCGCCGCTGATTGGTCCGCAGATTGCGGAGCCCGTGATTGATTGGCTACTGAGGTCTGGTGACGTCACACTTATTGGTGACGTCAAATGTCGTTCGATGGAAATCTCATTCAGCGTTGGCCTAGCGGGGAAGGCAAATTGAGCGATTAATTTCTGGTCATTTTAATCGGAGGCATTTGATGCATACGAGCTAAAAATAATCACAACTATGAAGGAAACAATCTCGTTACGGTTGAACGGGCCGACGTTGAACAAACAGTGACGTGGGTGTTTATTTTTACCCGTCCATTACCGCATGGTGTATCGGAGTCATTTATTATTGACGGGAAACACGCTGATGCCGCTCAGACATTCGGCAATCGAGCACAGGTGTGCCCCCTCCCCCTTCCGCACGGCTCCAGCGGCGTTCTCATTATCAGGCAAGCCACCATCGTTCATCAGGCTCAAGCATAGGGGAATGACAGAGCAGGGCCGAATCTCAACACAGGTGAGCACTGAACAAGCAATCTCGAGTCCTTCAACGTTAGCTCAGGTGCCTGTCCGTTCAGTCTGTGAACTAAAGGAAGTTTGTTAAACGTGACGCGTGACCATGACCCCATGACACGGCACCAAGGCTGCCACACAGTAGATTAACCGTCATTGGTGACAGCTATTTCACTCCATTGCCCGATTAGTAATTATGTAACTGGTGGAGGCGAGGCAGACGGCGAGTATTCGTGCATGATTTAGGCTAGCAATCGACCTTATTATAAAAGAAAGTGCGTTGTGAATCTTTCAGGTATTTGTCTCGCAGGACGGCAGTCGACACGTCATAAGCCGAGCCGATGGGGAAAGACTCGGACAACATTTGTAATTGAATGGTGTTTATGGTATTTGTTTATCATGAGGTTTATCGGCTAGTCAACTGATCCTAACGAACGAGCCTAACTAATGGACGCTTCGCACGATACCAGCTCTCGATGGTGCACAAACTGATCGAGTACAATGCTGATCGAGCTACGAATGTACAAAAACCACGGTTCAGATCATACGATCAGCGGAGCATACGCACATTTCATATCTGCTCTTTTAAATATCACAGGAAATCGGTTAAATCTTTCGCAATGCGCTCCACGGCAAAGTTCACTCTGTCCGTGACATTTATCCAATGAATTGGCGCTCCGCTGTGAGTGTGACGCATATTGCAGACGAATGACCTCAATTTCCCTGCTGCGTGGGCCGTCATCCGCATAGGCAGAATTGGACCGAAAGCGGAGACGATTTATTGGCCCATAGATGGCAGCACGGACTGTTCGACCCAAACCGTAAATGATTTTATATTCCATAACGAATAAAGTACGAGACAAAAATGTGCGATGTAACGCGGAGGAGTAGGATGTAAAATGTCTACTCGCATTTTATGGATGAAATGCGAGCCAATTCAGAGCGACGCATCCTGCGGCGCCTGCTTTTGCCAAAAACAATTTCCCTAATACCGCAGCACAAAACGAATTCCATCCCGAAGCGGAGCGCCTCTTTCTGACAACTCCACGCAAACATAAACAATGTTTTATACTGCGAATGGTGAGCCAAGGCCGCGTTATGTGTAACGCACAGCACCAAACACCCTGACGTATCTGGCAACACTTCCCAGAATTTTCCACCAACATCCACTAATTCTCGGTACGGCGTGCTCCAATTCGGCCCGACGTCGCCATGTCAAAGGCACTATTCTCTTCAATTGTGCTCTATTGATTATCCTTCAGCGGCCAGCACGGGCCACGGCCTGCCGGACGGTCGAGGCGCCACTCATTTGAAGGCATTCATGCCGGCCAACCCACCGAGACGCGGCGCACGGGCGCTGAGGCGCTATTCAGGGGAATTAGGACGTGTTTCGTACGCGGAAGGTGCCTACAAGTGGACCCACGAGACGGTACACATACATACCAGGATGCACTAACGCTGTCAAAGGTTACGGCAACGGTGGCATGATCAATAAAAGTAAAAAATGTTAAGACAAGGAGGTAGAAGCTAGGACAGGAACGAGAAAGGCGAGAAGTTCTTGAAAATATTATCTTTTGGTGTTTATTCCTGGCATAAAATAAGTGCAACAGCACATATAAAAAAAAATGTTTATTTATTGCACCAATAACTGTCAGATATTTTTCCATGCCTCATGGGCAGTGACTCTGGAAAAGTTGAAAGTCGGAGCAAACATGATAAGTGACATGGACAAAATTCTCGCTATCGTCGATCGCCTGCATCGAACGACTCCATCCTTGATTAGAAAGTCTGTCGGTATGTCTGGTGCTGCCGCCAGCTGACGGTAGGGCCATCTAATATTCAGCAGGGCGTCCTAACTGCGCTCCGTCCCGACCGGCCGACCGGCGACCCGCCGTACCGGTCCCGACTCAGGGGTCAGCTCGGAAAGGCCATGGAGGTACCGGACACGGAGGTCTTACAACGGCGGAGACATGGGGGTACACGGCAGAGGTACAACTTAATCGGGAGTGCCCCGGATCGTAGATCAAAATGGGGTCAGCAGTTTTATTAGTTTCGGACGCCACGGGATCACAGATCCCGCTCCGGCTCAAATATATGTAAATTCCCCCAGGAAAAGGGCATTAAGTACACAGTCCATAGTAGCCTTTATACGGTTTCAAACTAAAGTTCGTCAGGATATGTGAGCTACACAAACACCCAAAAGCTATTTACAAAGCTGTTGTATTCTCTGTTTTCAACGTCAGAGAGTATGGTGTCGTTTCAAGCTACTGACAACAAAAACGCTGCGTTTTCGCTGTGAGATTCCCGCCACCTCTCCGCCTCACCTAACCAGTCAGGGCCGGTCGGACACGCTCTTCACCAGTGTTTGACGACTGGGGAGTGCCACAGTACCCACAGCTCGGTGTCAAGGTCTCAGCCATTCCGCCCGTCACCCAGCCGGTCCCGAGAGCCGGGTTTACTGTATAGCAGTGATTTTCTCACGGTCACCGGCTAGTCCCAGCTAACACAATCACTTTCGCTAGGTAAGGGTTGGGTTGTGGCATTTTACAAATAATTAAATATCATCGGCAAAGACGTAGAGGGTGTTGTCAGGTTTTGTTTCACAAGCTTACTGCTCGCGTAGCTTTGTTAGTTCAGTGAAGCACGGGGCCTGCTTTATTTCATCTAAACTATTTCGAAATCACGCTCGTAGTAGTAATTATTCATCGAGATGGTCGAAACATAAAAGTTCCTGGAGTGATGGAACAAACTTTCTTCGGTGAAAGTGACGAGTTTCCCACAGACAGGACAGGCACCGGGATGCATTGCTCATCGAACGTATGAGAGAAAATGTGTTTCCCGTCCTAAAGAAGATTCATCAATTGCTCGATAAATGATTCTGCAAAAACTGTCCAGTGCCAAAAAAAGAAGTCCGTGACACTGACCGAGCCAAAAATACGTTGACAATCATGTTTGGCCGTTTAAAAAAGGCAACAGTTCAAATAACTCACTCCAGTGGTGAGCAAAAAAAGTAATAATTAAATATCATTTCTATTATATGCATTGATCCACTACATGAAAATGCAGTTAAGCATTTTCGGTAAACTGAAAATGCCAATCAAATTCCCAAATTCCCTGCATTTTTGCCAAACACGGGACTAAAACGTATTATCTTCTAATGATTCATAGCCCTCACATAATCTGTTATCTGTCTCCAAACATCCTGATCCGTTTATGAATCCCACCTCCCCCATCGTAATCCATGCGCTCGG